GAAAGTAGGGTTTTGCAGTCAAAAAAAAAAAAAAAAAAAAAAAAAAAAGCCCTCTTCCTTAGAATCATGAAATGAAACAGGTACATCTGGAAACAGAGGCAACCCAAAATGAAGCAAGTATTCACAGCTTTCTGTGCTAGGTGGTTTGGGGGTTGGGGTTTTTCATGTCTAATATGCTCATATTATTACAGCTACAATATAAACAATAAATTTTAGCTATCAGTATTGTCTGAATCAAGTAATAGGACTTCATGCCAAAACAGATCAGGCAAAAACATAAAAACAACCCAAGGATGAAAAGTACAAATACCATCCACTGTAAGCATGACTGCAGAGAACTCAGGGGAAGTCTTTTAATGACAGAAATGGTCCAAAAATTTGTCCAAACCCAAGGAAACTGAAATGTAATTCTATGCAACAGCACTTTTTGAAGTTCTCTTTCCAAAATTAAAATCATCACAACAGGAAGCAGATTTTTACTTGAAATGAATTCATTCATTTACAGAGAAGTGGAAATTTTTAAAGGCAGTGGTCCAAGAAGAAGACAACACCTACCTTCTTCCTTGGCATCCAAGTCTCTTGCTAACATCTCGCTGCAGGAGCCCTTCCAAAAGGGACTTCAGTTCAGGAGAAAATGAATCTGGTAGCTCCACATTCTGTGAAAAAAAGCAAGTACAAAAAGAGACATTTCATTATAGAAGTAGTGTGATCTGCTTTCCCCACATAGGAGAGTAGCTTTTCTTTGATAGTGTTTGTAAACAACTCTTCCATATGTAAATACAGCTTTCTCAGAAAGCAGGCTATATAGTTCCAGTTTTCAGAGGAAATGGGAGTTTACTAAACAAGAGGAATGTAACTGCAACCGTCACCAGGCTCCTTACCACGGTGAGCGTCATCCGGTCGATCTCATGCTTATCTTTGGTTTTGTGCTGTCTGAAAGGACTGTGACTGTAGAAATAAGAAAATGCACTAATAAATGTAAAGCCATAACATATCAGGTTATTTCAGCTGTGGCAACCCCAGGAAAGAGTGGAGCATCCTTTTAGTACCATTCTTCCACCTCATCAATCCTGTCCTGCAGAACAATAAAACAAGCAGTAAAACATTTAGCATTTACAACAAAAAAACCCGAGACTTTACACACTAGCATATTGTGGCTACTAGGTACCTCAAAAATATCAATGTTTGATCTCTTACAACTTTGTTTTCTTACTACAGAGAGCTGCACCACTTTGCAAGAACGTTCATCCTGTTTTCAGTACAATTGCATGTGGTAGATATCAAAATCAAATTCAGAGAAAAGCAACCATTCAATTTCTTTAAAGACTACACACAGACATCTCTGAGATTTATCGAACTCAGGGAAATCTAATCTAGTTAGTCCATATAAAGCATGCAGAGGGTTAGTTTATTCTTAAATGCACTGACCCATCCTTAAAGACAGTGTTTCAAATGCCTTACCAATTACATCTATGTCTCCTAAAAAACAGAACAGTTTCATCTAGCAAGACAACCCTGAACAGCTATCACAACACAGATATTTAAAACATTGATCTATATACGGAAACTGAGTACGACCTACAGAACTTACCACTCATCTATATGGAAAGAATGAAGCAAGATCTTAAACTAAATAGATGAAACAGAAGATAATCACAGATGCCACAACATTAGTGACTGGGAAGATATTTGATGATATCTGGTAAATTATCGTATTTATCCCTTTCCTGCTTTATAACTCAGTTTTTAGTTTGAATTTTTCCTTTATCATAGAATCATAGAATGGTTTGGGTTGGAAGGGATCTTAAAGATTATCTAGTTCCAACCCCAAGCTATAGAAGACCTTAGAATATTACAGATTTACCAGGCAATACTTAAACAACAGCATGAAAGAAAGCAGAAACATTTGAGCATGAGATTTTTTAATTAGATTTAGAATATATTGCCTGTTTCTTAGTTTTCTTCAAAACCTTGAGGGAATGGTATTTTTCAAAATGAAAATGTTATTTACTTATCAATACATTAATTCACTATTATAAAGCATTTTGTCTTGCCACATGGCAGTGTGTACTAGCTCATTTCAGCTGGGGACCTGCTACTCAAGAGTTATTTCCCTTTTACCCTCAAAAACGTTTCTGATGAATGGATCTGATGGACAGACCAGGACTTCCACTTTTCTGGTTTTAAGCATGATAGGTTGGAAGGCAAGAGTAAATGGCTAACATACAGCCTCATATACTTTGACAATGAGGCTCTGAGCAGATCAGGGAAGCAAATGATTCACTGTGGACTTACGGGCAGATTTTATGCCAGACTAAATTTACTAAACACCAAGAAATGTCACCATGTGCCCAACCCTTGTTTTGGGATGTGAGTTGTTTAATTGGCTGCAGAACAGATGAGGAAAGATAGATCACAGTGAATAATGCTTTGGCTTCTGGCCGACCACCGATAACCACCCTACACATCTCTGTCAGGAAGAATCACAGCCCACAAAGACCGAGATCTCCCCGTGAGTTTTGGTGGTAAATGAGACCATTTGCCCCTAGGTTGCTAGTTCCTTCATCACACAATTTCAATCCTGTGAAGGAAGAACCACACCAGAGTCAGTCAGACGCCCCAATCCTCTGTGCCCAAGTGACTCAAAAGGAAAAGGTCTCCAAAGAAAAGACAAGGAGTCTGCAGTGGTCCTGCGTGTGAAAGACACTCTCCTCTCTCCTACTGGCAAACCCCAACTGCTGTGTGTCTTTCTACCTACACAATTCTCCAATCAGTGATTAAAAAGACAGAGTACTGCTCACAGCTGTGTGATGCTGTCCATACTTAGAAATATTTTTTTTTTTTACAATTTAAACACCATTTCTTTCTTTATTTGCACACTTACATTTAGTCGATTTTGTGAACAATTAATGTTACACTCATACAGCTCCACACTTCAGAAGTCACACACTTACTTTCCTTTGTACAGTGTCTGGGATAGACGCAAGAGCTTATAATTAATTATGTGAGAGGACACAAGATTATCTAACTAATGATCAATCTTTACAGAGAAGCATTCTGTAAGGCTTAAAAGATTTTTTCCTTTTTGCAATTAACATTGAGGCTGCTATTTTCAACAAACACTTGCCAATCAGTGCTTATTGACTGTTCAGATAAATCCCTTAGTCTTAATAAATTCTACATAGCCACGTAAGTTTACTGAGAAGGTAATAATTGACAAAGCTTTAATTATCATATACTTTTGTACACCAATATGGTTACAGGCCAGATTGAGCAAATGGAAGTATCCACACATTACAACTTACCCAAACACTACAGAAGGAAAGACTGAGTATCATGTAAAGAGGGAACAATGCAGCAAAGAGTTTCACCGTAACAGCATGTTTTAAGACTAAAATGAAGTCCATAATTTAACAGGGCTACTTGTGTATTTAAGCAATGTATAACATCATATCATTTAAAATACTAACAATTGCCAAGAGATGAGTAAATTGCCTATCAGTAAAAGTCAAAAGAATGGATAGAGCATCTGCCTTCCTCACTGCCCTACACCTCTACCCACTAAGGGAAGCAGGGCTTGTGTTTTATTTGTTTTGGAAGCAAAAAAAGCCTGCTTTAGTCTCATGTGCAGACGCACTCTAAGTTGCAGAGATGGCAGTAAGGTACCATTTTAGATAATATGTAATACGTTACATATTAGTATTTCAAGGGACAGAGAACGATGAGGCCCAGGCTGAAAAAAAAAAGCAGCACATGGCACATAGAACTTCACTCACCCTCTCAGAAGTTTGAAAAGCATGCAGCCTAACGAGAACCAGTCTGCACTGCTATCATATGCTGTTCCCTTCTGGAGCACCTCTGGAGCCATGTATCCATGGGTACCTCTGAGAAGCAGAAAGGGACAAAATCTTGATTACAATCAAAACTATCATTGTAAAAAAAAAAAAAAATTAAAAAAATCAGTGTTTTCTCAATAAAATAGCCTAATTTAAAAATAATTAAACTTTTTTTTTTTTTTTGCTTTTTCTTTGACCATACATACATCCACATGTTTTCTGTTTGCATATATCTACTGAGGAAATGCCTTAAAACAAACAACAGAACAACGGAAATGAGCAGGCAAGCTGAAGCAGCTACAGCAAGTTGTAGCAGAATCAGTAGAGGGGTCAGTAAGTGGCCTTCTGTGCAGGAGTGGAACACAGAAGAGAGGCGGAAAAGTTGCGTGCTCCGTCCACTCGGTTTACAGGAAAGACAGACATCAGGACACCGTCAGGGCACCTGATATTTCAGGCCAGATGGCCCCAGCCCTGGGCCCTGCAAGACTGAGACCTGCTCTGACCCACAAGCCCAGGACCAGGGCGAGCGGAGCTGGCGTGTGCTCTCTCGATGCGTTTCACGTGTCTCCTTCCAGCTGACACCTGTGTGCTAATCAACAGGACACCTCCTCCAGAAGTCATCGCTGCTCACCACTAGAAAGCAGTCACCACGTACTGCTTTTACCCTTGACGTAATTGGAACGTACGAACTTTTTCAAGAAGCTACTGAATTGCAAATCTTTTAAGATATGACAGGATGCAGCTTTCCTTTTTGCATAAATTATGAGACTAAATCAGGGCAAATGAGGACCTAAGAATAAAATGTGCCAGATAAGATGTGGAATCCAATTCACATGCAACCCAAGAAATTCAGATCCCAATGATGACCTGATGCCAAGAGGCAGAAAGGAACACAATTTGCCTCCAGTTCTACAAAGATCCAGAAAGAGAAAGACACAATAAATCCTGGTTTTTAGTCAGTTTTGGAATATTTAATTATCCATTTAGGACAATTAAAACAATCTGGTACTTTAACTCAGTTAGGTTCTTATCTTCTCTGAACAGTGAATCATAGCGAAATAATGTGTCATCTTCCAGCCATGCCTACACATCAGCTGCTACAACTGTGCAGGAAAACAGAAAGAGGAGACTGAAAAACCTTATTAGAGTATCCAGCTTAGCTGTGTTATAAAGCTAGCCAGTGGCATGCAAGTGTTATTTTTTTTCCTTTAGGTGAAGTTAAATTACAAAGACACATAAAGAACTTATTTAGCAATACTTATATGTGCAGCAAAGCTACCATACATAATACTTACACACTAGCATGTGGCTTCTTTTTGGAGAAATCACAAGCCAGCCCAAGGTCTGATATCCTCACATGCCCATGTTCATCCAACAGGATATTTGCAGGCTAGGAATGCATAGACACAGAAAGGTTACGGCTTGGTATTTTTCAGTTGACAGAACTACAAATTCTCAGAACACTGTAACTCATTCTCAAACATCAATACTCTCCAGTAATAGGTTATTGATGTAAAAAAAAAAAAAGGCAATTTAACAGACACTTTCTAGATAAAATCTACATTCTAACGGAGCACTATCATCAAGTCCAGAAGAGACTATGAAATACTGATGAATAACAGAAGAGAAAAAACAGGAGAGGTCTGAAATGGAAACCATATGAAAGAATAAATCCACTTTGGCCTCAAGTCCACACTGCTTTTGGTTCTTTCACAGAAGGGTCCGTGTGTGGCTCTTACACCCTTTACTTGCAATCTACACTCTGCACTCTCTGTGCAGATTTATTCCCCAATTTTGTCGTCACCTGGCTCATGGACACCTCTCTTGGAGCAGCCCTCAACTTCCCAATCGTCAGTGAAACCCCCCTATTAGTCTCCCATCACATACTCCCCTTTCAGGGCTCTCAGAAACATAGTACGCTCTCTAAATCAATAGCATCATTAAGATGGTGAGATGAGTAACACTGCACGGGATTTATTCTGACCCCAAGGAAGCATCTCCCAGGCCAGTTAAACTAGATAATAGCACAGATTGTAACTGTGTTGAAACAGTACTAGAAAAATCAGCCAAAGATAAACAAATGATTTGTATTCTTCCCAAGAAAAGGTTTCAGGTAAGATACTTCATTTATCTTATCAGTATCTCTGGACTGTTTGCTGCTATCTAACAACCACCTGTGTGAATGCAGTCACTATGTTAACGATTACCTTTAGGTCTCTGTATACAACAAAGCGATTGTGCATGTGTTCTAAACCCAGGATGATTTCAGTAGCATAAAACCTCATTTCTTTTTCAGAAAACACTCCGTGCTGGGAGAGGTGGTAGTGCAAATCTCCTCCTAAAATTAGAAGAATTGAGATGCAATTAAAAGAACAGTAAAATCTTGCCTTGCAGGCAGACGGCATGATGTAGGGGGAAAACAGCAGAGCATTTGTAGGTTCTTATAACCTGTGGAGCATACAGGAACCCAGACGTACACTCTGCAAGTACACATGGTGACAAAATACCTGAGAAAGTTAATAAATAAATCTGATCAGTCTGAAACTCCATTTTAAAAATACATTTACTTCATACACATTTGCATTCGGTGACTAATCCAGCAACTGAGTCTTAATGCAAAGGATTTCCGCAGCAAGTAAAATGCAGTCACATACATAGGTTTCTGGAGAACTGAATAAATTTGCATATAGAACAGCCCAGGTTGGGAGGGACCTCGAAAAGTCATCTGGGCCAAACTATTCCAATATTCATGCTGGGGATGTTTTCACACTTTCTTAATCGAAGAACAGGCACAATACAATGTCACTCTGTGAGCTAATCCACACCACCAACACATCAAATTGTGAATATTCCTAGAAAACTGTTTCTGATCAAGCTACAGATTTAAACTAATCAAACCAGTACTTGAATTTGATTTTAACGAGAATCTTTACTTGCAAAACACCAAAGCCAGTCTCTATTACTTACAGGATATGAGCTCTATTTCTTAATTAAACTTCCAGCTTTGCACCACGGTATGTGGAGATGTGCTCCAACATCTTGAGGTGCTTACCGCGGGACCACAGTCAGGGTTCGAGTCTAAGCCCCACAAGTGCTGAGCATCCTCAGCAAATAAGGGCACTGCAGTATCTTCTCTCTCTTAACTCTGCCAATTTCTTGCTCTGTGTGTTCTCTCAAGAGTTATGCTAAGGCTTCTAGGTATAATTTCTTTCCTTTGAGGAATGCTTCCCCCATCTGTTTTCTTTGCAGAGCTCTTTATAGTAGCCCTTTTATTTTTATTCTGAAAGCTGAGTCCCTGATCTCTTCATACATTTCTCCACATGACCACCATTTCCTTAAGCTTCCAGCCTAGCAGGGCCTTTGATATCTTTATGTAAATACGTTCATGTTATAAGGTATCAGAGATTTTTCAGTCTGTTCTATCCATGCCCGGCTTTAGATCAATTTACCCCTCCTGCTTGCAGGCTGATGCTTCACACCTCAGATTATTTTTCCCTCATTCTCCTTATGATCTCAGCAAGTCCTTCTGCCAGTCCTTCTGTAATATTATCATCATCTGCATGAGCCTTGCTTACCATTCATCAGGTCCAGAATGAAACAGAGTTTGTCAGGGGTGTGGAAGGCATAGGTCATACACACTATAAAAGGACAGTCCTAGAAGGAAAGGAGCAAAGAGTTGATCTCAGGTGATAAGCAAAGTACTATTTAGAGAAGCTAAAAATACAAGCTGTATTTTTCCTATGATATTTGCCAATATTCGTAATATTTTCTAAAGCAATTCATGTACTAATCTACGTACTCTGATATTTCACTTACAGTTTAGGGATCTTAGATTTTGCCATCTCATTTCAATACAAAAATAAAAAAAGCTATGACAAGCCAAAGACTTTAAAAATGCAGGTAGCATCACTGTCTTCTGAAGACTTTCAACTACAGCATATTATAAAAATATTTACCTGAGTTTGCACTAGACTTTACATGAAAGATACATTGAAGCTAACAAGCTTTAGGCCAGCTCAGAAAAAAATAAAGCCGCTCCCATGAAGCGTGAAGGATACGCACTACTTCCCACAACTGCATAGAGAACTTTCCGCTGTCAGAACACCAGTCAAGAATCTGAGTCATATCACGTACAAGATCCCAAAGGAAAGAAAGTTTTATCCTCACCTATACATTAAACGCAGCTACCCCAGTAACACCCTGTCCGTGCTGCTGAACTCCCCCCGCAGAGCTGCACAAAGACGACAGCGGGCATTCTGCCACTCGCTGCTGCCCTTCAGCGCTCCAGCAGCTTTTGCAACAGATGATTAAAATGAACATAAATACACTAGGAAGGAAGTCACAACTCTGATGCGTACGCAATGCATGGGAAGCAAGAACACCAAGGTCCAGATTATGCAAAACCCAGAAAACAGGCACGGTGGGTGCAGATTTAAGAACGTCACTGCAGAGCAGCCACGCGCAGGGATGGATTACGTGGAGTACGTTCCCACTTCTTGATGCACTTTAACCTTCATTCACACGGATGTTTAAGACAAGCAGCCATAAAAAAACACAGCCAGAAAAACACCTTTTTACTGCAAATCATAGAATCGTTTAGGTTGGAAAAGACCTTTAAGATCATCCAGTCAAACCATTAACCGAACATTAGCAAGTCCATCACTAAACCAGTTAAGGGTAGAGTAGCAATTTCATGTTTTGTTCAGTGTGCTGGTACCTCTCTAACGCACATGGATCGAAAGATGCCATGGTGGCAAGTTGGCAGACCTTCCTCTCTTACTTATGCCTGTACTGGATGCAAGAGGCTAATTAATAGCGGGTGGCTATTACCTGGTTGACCCCTTCTCCAAGCTACATGGGACCAGGCTGTTCAGTCAGCCTACAACGAAAACTTAAGGAACGGCTGGGCTGTTAAAACAGAGTGGGCTGCACCGTAACACCGACAGACGAAGGTCTGACCCCGAAGCGCGGAGGCTGACAGGAAGACGAGCTGAGATGAGCTTAACTGCTGACGAGCCAAGACACCACGCAGGAAGCACGAATGTGACCTAACGTGACTTAAACAATGTGCTAATTATTGCTGTATTGATAGTGAAAGCCCTGGGAATCTCTAACAGGAACTCGTTTCCTTCCCAATTTAGAAGCAGCAAAACACGGTGGCCTTGGGCAGAGCGGGGGCCATGGGACCCGGATTGGGGTGCCGCCTCGCTGGCCCTGCCGAGCAGGAAAGGGAGGGAACGGCAACACCGTCCTCACCGGCCGGCCGGCACAGCGCACGTCGGTTCACCTTTCCACAAGGAAAAACCACGTAAGGGTGAAACACGAAGCTTTATCTGCTCGAGTGTAATCCCCAGTGACTCCCACGCCCCGCGGACTGATCCCGCCGTAACGCTCAAACCTAACCCTATTTTGGTGTTTACTGGGCAAACACTAATTCCAAATACGCCTCTGCAGAAGGCAGGCACGCATTTGAAACACCCTGCAGAAACAAGCGTGAAAAAAGCCCAATTGGTAAATGGTCCTAGAAATAAGGAGACTATAGGCAAGGCAGTACGGCATCTAACAAAAGATACTACCACTCCTTATAAACTTTGTATTGCTCCTAACTGCGGACTATCATAGTTACCACTCAACTTCCGAACAAAAGCGTCAGTAGAATTATTAACTTAATTTTCTGAATCAACTGCATAATTCAGAAGTGTCCCCAAGCAGGCTTCCTAAAACCTTAGAGCAATCTAATTACCCAGAAGGATTTAGCGTTAGAATTTAAACACCATACATAGAAAAATAAAGGGTGTTTCTATACCAAAACATAGTATGCCTATATTTTTATGGATCTCATTTTTTAAAAGAAAAGAAATCTGTGAGTATAAGTGTGATGCATAATTCATTTTCCTGTAAGTCTTCCTAATTTAATCACTACCCTCTCACTGTTTAACAGAGAGAAGAAATTGTAGTACTGTGATATTTTTCTGACACAAAAACCACCGCAAAAGAGTATTTTCCAGCATAAGAATTAAAAATACCCTACAGGTATTTTTTTAAATGAAACATAAAGCAAATAAAGCAGATTTCCCAAGGCAGTAATACGTTGTTGCAGTCAAGCTTCTCCTCTGAAAAAAAATAAGCAACAGTATAACAACAACGTGTGAATTAAGAATAGTTTGGACACAGGTCCTTACATCCAAACAATCCTGTGTTAAGTCCAAAAAATTGTAGAAGCCAAATTTCTGGTGATAAATAATGTCGAAGGAAAAAAAAAAATTAGAGTAACTATAAAAAATTGTAGGAATGTAACATTTTGAAGACATAAGCACACTAACAATTACTGCAGAAGGAAAACTTTGCTTCTGGCTCTTTCTTATAACCCAAGCACCCGGCTTTAGAGCATGACCGTAGAAATGACAGCAAACAGGTTTAAAAATGTGTTCATAGCGTAGAGCAGCTGTGCAGCATGGTTAACTAAAGAGCAGCTCTGTCCTGACAGCTCAGAAAGATGTGCAAGTCAATGCTTGAAACACCAAACTATTATCTGCCATTCCCACAGATGTGGCTTCAAATGACTATCAAGATTTGGGAATATATTCCATTTTTTGAGCAAAGCCAAGACTCCTGCAAATCTCAGTAAGTACCTGTTCTTCTTAGAAAAAAAAAAAAAAATTATTATTGATCTCAGATATTATTCAGCCTGTCCACTTTTGCTGCACCTTTATGTTTATCATCCCTTGAATCTTGAATCCAGTATTTAGTCAAATTATCTCAAAAAGAGCTGAACAGAACAGGTTAACTGCCTATTTTTTTCAGAACAAGAGAACTAGAAGACACAGTAGAGTGGAGCCACAGCCCTGCAAGGCCCCTGGTCTTGCAACAGACTGCCGGAATGACCACCTCCTACCCGCCAGGAAAAGATTTATTAACTGGCCACTTCCTTCCACAAACAGCACCTTTTGGCAGATTGTTTTTATACAGCTCATCAGCAGCGATGGTCTTGGTGATTTCAGTGTTCCCGTTTTTGAACGTTAGGCAAATGTTGGGCATTACGGAAAGGAAGTGGGTTTTCTTTTTTCTTTTAACAGAAAGTGAAATATTTTCCCTACTATGCTATCTTCTAAGAATTTCAAAATGCATTTCCAGCCTCCAGATTGAACATCTCCATAGGAGAGGAAGATGGGGCCTGCATCTTGCAGAAGAGGAAACACAAACCTCAGCAACAGTTTGCCCGTGTTACACCAACAGTCAGTGACGAAGCAAATATACCAGTGGAGAATCCCAGTAACGCAGAGCCCACATTTGGTATTATTAGGCCAATCCAAGCAGTTCCCTGTGCTCTGTAGAGGTGTCTGTCGTACCATTGAGCTGTGCCGATTCGAAACGTTACCATGAAAAGCTACTCTCACAACGCGGCCACGATGAACTCAAATTTGGGAGCTCCCTATTTAAGAAGTAGTTGTGAATGCCAAAATTTTAGGTGGATTAACAAAAATGATTACACAAACGTATGTGTAATCTGCACAGCTGTTATTATGTATTTTGCAGAGACATCTGGATTCCCAGTTAAATGACTAATTGTACTATGATGAACTTCCCAGTTCCATTTTGTTCCGGGCAGCACATAAATCCTGTCATTGGGGAAGGCACGCGCCATTCAAACCTAACAGCTTACATTCAGGAATGAAATGAATTATCTTATTCTACCATTTTCAAACCTACTTAATTCTGCATATTCAAAACGCCCGGTATCTCTTGCACCAGCAGGTGTATCCAACCTGAATGGGTAGCATTTTGTACAAAATCTCTCTTTTCAAATTTCTGAGAATCTAAAGAAGTTACACTCTAATGAGCTGATAATTCTTAACAAAAAAAACCCCAAATGGTTTGTCTTGCTTTTCTGTTGCTAAATGATGAGCTATGCGCTGTCATATAAGAAAACTAGTTCTACCATTAGCAGCCTTGTGAACAATTTTCTTTTTGAATCACTAGACGTGAAAATTCACATTCAGTACTGGAGCAAGAAAATCACAAATTAGAGTTAATAGGACAATTATTACTCATTTGCCTAGATTTCTTGTCTAGTCTCCGCTACAGAACTTCACCCCACTGGCTCTCAAGACTCCTGACACTTCTGGACAAGCCACAACTTATCTTTGTTGAAAACAGTTAACTCGATTAAAAAGTCTAACCAGTAAATCCCAATTTTCAATTTCACAGATAAAAGAACAATGAAATACTTTCCAGTCCTTTGTCTGTCTTTACGTTCAAGCCAAACGTGAATGCATGTCTGTGTTAAAGGAAATGCACTGACACTCCATTTCAGTGCATGCTTGCCCTTCTCCTGAGGAAGGCTGAGGAAGCAGAGGAGTTTGCAATGAAAGGCACAAGAAGAAATACCTCATCCTTCCTTCGGAGCTTTGCAATGAGGAAAAAGTTAAACCTTATCATAACACCTGGACGTGTAGCTTCCCTAGTTTCCCATTTAGGATTTGCCTTACCAGGATATTTCTAACAGCAGAGGAAAATGATCTGATGGGTAGCAAGAAAAGTTCAAAAGCTAATCTTCTAGGCCAACACTGCAATCAGTTTTCCTATCCTGTCAATCTGCACAAGAGAGCACGCCACATGCCTCTCGTGAGGCTGGAAAGTACCAAGTGTTGTCTGATTCACAATGTATTCACTTGACAATAAAAGGGCTCTGTGTAGCAATTACAACTCTGTATTTACATGTAAGATGTGAAAAACACATCTCCATTATTTCAAGCCAAGTTTGCAGAAGACAGGGGCCGCCGCAGCACAGGCAGTTCTCCTGCAGCTGCACCTACAAGCAATGCAGTGCAAAGTCCCAGACTATCTGCAGGCAGAGGACAGCCCATCTTCAAGCCTGATCAGACTGATGGGCTCCCGGAACAACAGAAGACGACAAGGATGCTGTGTATGCACTGAAAGGACAAAACGACGCTAAATGCATCACAAGTGAGATCTTTTTTAAAAAGAAATCAGTATTTACTAACCCACCTGGGCAATGCAGAACCAAAACCAGGATTTACCTAGTCTCTGCAAGACACAGATCTTGTCTCAGAGTATTTGCTCTCTGCCATCTTGTAAGCCAAAGCAGTAATCCTCCTGCACTGCAGATATTACACTATTTGCACACCTGTTGTACAAGCCTAGAAAAAAATCACACGCAATTCCTTCTCGTGCTTTAACTGGGCTGGGAAAAGGGGATGTGTTTACACTGAGCTGCAAACTGAATGTTTAATTCGTACACCGCAATAGTCATGAGGAAAATTAACCTTTTTACCAGCATCACAGGTAACCATGGTGATAGGAGTTGGTTTCAAGTTTTGTTTAATGAGGCCAGTGTACTCTGAAGGCTCTGGCACTTCAAAGCCTGCTCTGAAGCTGTCTGAGCGCAACGTACTGCGGCCACTGCTGAACTTCTCTTCTGCAGGTAACAAGACACGGTCTGCTGAAACCACCGCCAGTTGGGTTGCTTTTTATGCACATTAGTGATACTTCTAACTGTAAATACATTTGTCTGCTAGATGGGCAGGTTTACTTGGTAGACCTTGACAGGTACTCAGCTAAAGCTCATAAAAACAAAATGGAAAAATTGGATAAGCTAATATCAGAGTCACAGGAAAAGGAGGATGAACAGGTAACTGAAGTTTGATTCTGAAATAACATCTTATATTATACAAAAGTACTATGTAACCATAGCAGAAAAGGACATGTTTTTACAAGACAGAATAATGTTTTGGAAAAGTTTCAAATATAAATACCTGAAAAGGGAATATTTAAAAAATCAGAAGGGGAGGGGGGGAGAGAGAGAGAGAGAATGAATTACCTAAGAAATGGGAACCTCCTCAATCCTCTTTAGCGGAGATGCTCATTTCTGTAAGCACCCAAACTGAAAAGCAAGGCTGCTTTTCCATTTTTATTCCAGACACATTGCTAGACTCGGGAGAAGGTTCCGGGGGGGTTAACTTTTGCATGTCACACAACTGAATCGATGGAATATGTATTACATATAAAAGCTGTTACATTATATGAAAAAAAAAAAAAAAAAAGAGTAACAAATCAATGATACTTACTCCTGTACTGACAAGAGACAGCATAATTCTTTCATTTAAGGCTAACGTTTCTCCTTGCTTCATCTTGATTCTCTTCTTATCTAAACATTTCATTGCATACCTGAAAATATTAACCATTCAGAAAAAGCACCAGAAAAAATTTCGTCCTATACTCAGCATTATTCACTAGCAGTTATGCCATGCGTATTTAGAGCAACCTGTAAGCAAGCTCTTTAAAGACTTAAACCTGGTACTAAAACCATCATTACATGACTAAACAAGAAAATCTCCAAAATCTCACAGAATTAAAGCATTTTCAACAGAAGCCTCCTAACAGAAATGTGCTTTAACAAATACTTCCGTGTGCGAACAACCACAGTGATACAGGAATTACATATCATTCGTCCGTTTTTCAATATCTACAAGCAAGGATTTGCAGTATGAATTAAATAACAGAGACCCTATTACAGTTCCATTTAATTCTAACAGTTTCAACTCTACCCAGAAAGTAATATCTTGAACACATGCTGAGTTTTATAGGGTTTTTTTTTAAGTTTTCTTTCTACTCAAAGAAAGGTCAGACATACACAAGCTTTTTTAAACTTCTACCATCTGTATTACACAAATTAATAAAATTTTGCTCAAAAAAGAACGTTACCCTAACAACCATCAAACAAGAGTAGGATATAACACCGTCTGTGGATATTTTTTCAAGACGTTAGGTGAGCCTACTATTAGAGAACAGCTGAGAAGGACACGTGTGATCCTCCATACAAGATTTTTAGACGTGGGCAGCCATGGATTTTTAGGCCATTCGTTTTAAAATATGCTCAGGAAAACACCATGTTACAGCACTGCATCAATGCTAATCAACTGCCTACGCTGTGACAGCTCTGTACAGAAACAGGGCCTCGTATCACCTTCGCTTTGCACTCCCTAAAAAAGCCACGTCATTCCTTGCCATGCATGTGTTGTGAGTGGGGGAAGAGTGAGCGTGAACATACTGGAATTTTAAGTTTCCAAAACAAGGAATATATTCACAGCACGTGCTCTTGCTGAGAAGTCTGTAAATGATGACTATAAATAACATCTCACATGCTACCCTTTATTAATGCTTTGACATCACTGATCAAAGTGAATGACTGGGGCCATTTAAGGCTGATCAAAAGCAAGTATCTCATTCTTGTACCGAGTTACGTGCTCAAAAAGCACTGCTATCCCTCCCCCTTTGGACTGCTTTCTGCATTGTACTTCTGGCCCCTATTTAGATGTCCTTGAAGGAGGTGATGTGAAAGAAGCCTCAGGTGTATCTTTGTGGGTTAGTGAAACACCGATGGCATTTACCTTAGAGGGGTGGCTTCCCAAGCTCCTTGCAGGCAGTAAGTGCAGCAGAGGCAGCCATCTAGAGTGGACGGGATCTGGATTAGGGATGGGTAAACAGGTTTGGATTAAGAAAGAACTAAACCAAACCTCTACCCAGAAACTGAACCTAATCTAAAGTCTTGCTTCAAATTTGAAAAAGGTTGGTTTTCCCACATTTCACTTCCCTTTACTCTATTTATATCTGATAAAAACTGTCCTTTGCTTCCCTTGCTAGTCCCAAGGTTTATCCACCTCCTGCCAGAGCAAAACTCAGCCATGAAAATGACTGGGAGTCTGAGAACTACCTCTTCAGGGTGGACGCCTGCTTAGTGTGGCTCAAGCTAAATAAAATGTTTGGGTTTGTACATGGACGAAATAATGAACTGTACATGGACAAAAAAGTACCAAAGCAAGAATAAAGACAGTATTGTTAGTAATAGTATTAATATAAATACTTGAGGTCACTGCAAAAATACTGAGCACGATAGCAACATTAAGATGTCTTCCACTTGTTAACAGCTCAAAGGTTTATTATTATCAAGGATGCCAAGCACACACAATTGCCAGTGAAGCCAGCTGTAATCGCAGAGACTTGGCACTTCAAATACGCCATGCTTACTTAGAAGAGAAATGTGTAAGGATGGTCCCTCGCCTAAATTGTTAGGGGAAAAGCAAGATGAAAGGGGGGTGTGGAGCATAAATAAATAAGTAGATGGATAGACATTGAGAACAATTTTTTAAATCAATGCCCAGATGTTCAAAACAGGACATAATGGGACAATTATGCCTAGAGATTGAAATCTGTTGATTAGGAGAAGTGTGTCAATGGTAAGACCAGAAAAAGAAAAAAACCACACAGGTTGATCTTGGAGTTCCCACTGAGAGCTCTGCTAAACAGAATTTCAACACTGGAACTATATTCTTCCAAACGTAAACAAGGATCACTGCTTTTGCCAGTGAAACGTGCTCATCAGGGCAGAAACTTATGCAATTACACAAATCTGGAATACCATATTCAGACTCTGCCCAGGCACGACCCTACAGATGGAACAGCACTGAGGTCATATTCCTGTGTCATCCTCCAACCCTATGGCAGCACCAGCCGCATGACACGCTTTGCTGCGAGAAGAGCAACCTTCAGCAGACAAGAGGTAACACCTCACACAATCACCACGGCTTCCACAAGAACATCGTTCTGCACTGTCAGGCTCTGATCCAGGAAATCATTTAAGCACGTACTTAATTTTAAACACATGCACAGTCTCCATTAATTTTGACAAGACCATTTAAATGAAGGATGTGCTTAAGAGCTCTGCTAGACTGAAGCCCCGCTGCATGGCACGTAACAGGATCAAATATCAAACTAAGCTTAAAGATGATCCAGAAATCAGAACCTCTTGGGATAAAATTTAATTACAAAGAACTATACAGTAATGCGACGCTGCTTTCCAGTGATTTTGTAAGAAATGACTGGAAGGGTTTCCTTACTAGTTCAGAGTTTAGAATTACCTCTAAAATGAAGTGTGTGTGTACTCACATTTTTCCAGTGTCTGCTTTTCTGCAACCATACACTTCACCAAATCCCCCTCTTCCTATTATTCTATGTACACTAAAATCATTCATGGTCAGCTGTAAATGCAAAAAAACAAAACAAAACAAAACCAGACTTCATTTTTCAGTACTAAAAAACTTACTGTAAAAACATCTAAATAATCTATTAATGTGTTAAGATACTTAACTATCGTAATTCATACAGCATTTATTGTGGAAAAAGGAGCCCCTTACTGTTTATATTTCAACGTACTTGCAAGCACTACAGTCCGAAGTACAAGCAAGACGAATGAGACTGTTGTTGCCAAAGACTGACAGCCTCATTCACAACGCAGTCTGCAGAAGAGGAGGGCTGTTCCTACCGCCAAAGTGGTAAAAGAGCAGTGCAGAGGGACAAGGGCAGCGGCCGAGGTAAGGGGTGCTGGGGACAACGTCAGAACCGCAGCGGGAAAAAGGAGACAGACGGTGGCTGGGGCTGTTAAAGAGCGGCAATTCTGGCAGTTCGGTTTCTTTCAGCTATTATAAAAATCCAAAAGCTATTAACTCGAGACAGGCAGAAGGGACATCCGGAAAGGAATCGTTAGGACTGTAGGTCTAAGAATCGAAGAGCAGATCGGTAACATTCACCATACTCCTTACTAAGGCCTCTTCAGAAGCAGTGTTCAAAACTGAACATTCTCTTTCCTGTATCAGCCTTTGACAGCATAAATATACTTGTAAGTACTTACATGAATATTTAGTTCTACGTTTTTCCATTGACAAAATCTAGTAAACTTGTCGCTGTAGGAAAAAAGTTGAAAAGTTGTCTGAGACTACTGCATAAAGTATTACAGAAAACGTCAAGACTCTGATATTGAAAATAAAGTTTGCGCTAGGGCGTGTTGTGATATTTAGTAAATGATAGCCTTCCTTTCAAACAATTGTAGTCTCACCCCCACCAAGAAAAACAATTACTAGGCAGTGCACACTTAATATTTTACATCCTTGTAAGACAAAGATATCAGATAACCTTATCCCTGTACTTGGAAGTGCTCAGTATGTCCTCACATCTCTTTCAGACTTTTTTTTCATTTTTAAAAACAACTAACTAAGCTTGGAACTAACAGAACATTTAAATTACAGAAAGAGAAAGATAACTATAAGAAAACAGAGACAGCTCAATTTATGTTAACGAACCTCCGTATACCCCAAGGAACATTTTAAACTCATTTTATCTTAAAATCGGAAAAACATCAATAATACCACAAGCTGTTGCAAAAAAAAAAAAAAAAGTTTCTCATCTCTACATGAACAATTAAGTATTTCTTTTCAGAGCAATAGTTCTATGGAGGCATTTTTAGAATTATTTCGGTTTGACTGCTGAATACCACCATACCATTTTACACCGTACATTTGGCTGTCGTTGGCTGAGAGCTGCACTTTACAGACCCTGCACACAAGAGCAGTTCCATTAAGGTTAAGAGGGCTGCTCAGCTGAATTAGGTCTATGCCTTGTACCCTTTACTAGACCTTTTCCGCTTAATTGCAAGGTGTCCAGATACAAACCAGAATGACTGGGTCTTTCAGTCACACGCAAGAGATGGTTACTCATGAGAACATCCCACAAGAAACATAGCTCTGCATTTTTAAACCTTTAAGATCAAACTGCAATCTATTATTACTGCTACACAGAACAACAGAAAAATCTATCGTCATTACAATTTTTCCATGCATACATCTTGACATTAATCATGATGTACAACAAAGCTAGTAATTTGCAGAAGCTTGCTGATAATACACTATTAATTAAATGAGGTTTATTAAATATTTTTAGCCTTATTTCACAGCAATACTTAAGGGACCTGGCTTCCTGCTACATTAGGTAGAAAGTCCGGATAATATGTCATGATCATACCTTTCCATAAATTTTTGAAATATGTTTCCTCGGAGACTATCACAAATTTCTTCTATATATGGCTAAAAAGGGTTAAGAAACACAATTAGTATTTAAGCATACAATAAACTGATTATGTAATACTACCCATTACATATAACTCACGCTGGCCCTATACAACTACAGCATTTACTGTGTTTTCCTTGAAGAAGGCTCAACGAAGTATTTAAGCTTCATTTAGCTTTTGGAATCTGAGCAGGTGCCCTGAAGTCAAACATAAAGTATTTTCATGAGCTAGAAAACCTTCAGTGTTTGCCTTTGGGGGGATTGTATGAAACCTGTGTGAAGCACCTGTCTACAGACAAGAAGTTCGGCAAAACAATCACAGTACAGTTCTTTGTTCAAATATATTTAAAGCAACACGTGGTCACTCCTGTGGAGTGTGACTTCCCAGAGCTGCTGCCACGCTTCATCTTTTTGGTGCCTCTCTCCTCTCTGCCCTTACTAAGAAACCGGCACCTTCAATTCACAAGTGACTTTTTCTAGAGAAATACTTTCTCTTGATGTGTGATGGCATGCAGCGATCTCGAATCCCAACCCAATTAGCGGTGAGATACAACTCAAGCAATGTAGTTATCAATTTGTCAGTTCACCTAATTGCAACATTAAAAACAGTTCACTGAGCAGTAAGAAACATAAGGCAGGGGCAAACTTCACATTTTTGCAATATATAAAAATACGTAAGATTTACGTCAAAGACATTGAAGCTAATAAACACTCCCATGACTGATGAGGTTCGTTATCTGCAAAACCACACTGGTTTAATGCACCTAGCTATGAAAGTTAGCATAATTCTGAATTTCTTGTCTTGTATCAATGTGTATTAAAGCTATAACAATACAAGAAATATTTCACTTCTCATTTCTTTATTTTCTGAATTAAATAAAAACATAAAAGATGTATAATTTTGCAAATGAGCCAGGATACCATTTACATTCATATTTATATTCAAATGGAGGATATGCAAATCCCAGACTTTCTTTTAACAATTCAGAATTTTAGAAAGTTTAAAAAAAGCACCCCAATTTGAATGGTGCAGAAACTCCTGTTTAGAAAGGCAATTTTTGATTGGATTTTGTCTTGTGGAGAGACAGAAAAACATGTGAAATGGTACAAATGCTTAATTCCTCACCATCGTCAACTAGGAATTAATATACCTTAAAATGAAAGAAAAAGGAAAAATGTTTTCAAAGATTTCACATTACTGAAACATTAAGGCAATTTCTCCACTATGCAATTTGGTTTATCCTGACAGGATGTGTATCTTCCTGATGTACAGTGATTTACTCTAAATCATTTCATGGCTTAAAATTACATAAATTTAAAAACTATTCTGTTCATATACCAAGGTATAGTTTGTTTTCATAAATGTGCTTAAAAATATTTTAGATAAGAACAGTAATTTGTAATTTTTATTTGACTTAGAAAAGCATTCTAATATCACTATTACAGTGAAGAATATTTACCAGAACCATTTTATTCCGTCTCCTTAAATAACATATACAAAGTCACTTACTGTCAAGTAAGTGAAGAAAACTTGAACATTCAGACTGTCTTAACCTCACCTGAAAAAGGCTGGCTGGCACTTGTTTCTTGGTTAAATGTGTTTGTACATGATCTACAGCTTGTTTTGAGAAAGGCTTTTGAAAAAGAAAAAGAAAGATTTCAAACAGTTGGAAATGTAACAAGTTTCATTAAAGGTCTACAGCACTGTTGTTCTTTGAACACATAAAAATACACATACTTCAGAATGAATGTAATATAGCTTCTCTAGTATGAAAGACTGCCTTATGACCAAATAATAATAACAATAAAAAAATCTTTGTGTGATGAGTTTCAGACAAAATCTCAAGCTTTACTCTGAGCTTTCAGAGATACCAAAGTTCAACAGCCAAACTGTCCTGCGGAGCCCCTGGCAGCTCACATTTCTGTGAGTTTTTGGGGGCAGGGTTGTTGCTAGGTTGGAGGGGGGTGGTTAATGTATGTATATGTATGCATGTATATATACACACAAACTGCACTCATCGTATTTTAAAATAGAGATTTAAAGAATTATAAAACAGATAAATCTCCAAATCTTTCCTTTGCGTCCCACCAAGTTTAATAAAAATTGGCACATACCACCAATCTTTACACCTCATTACTGGGGGAAAAGAAACCCCAAAAGCATGCTGAATTCAGCCAAGCCCAGGCCCACAGACTTCAAACAGAAATCTGCAGCACTACAAGTATTTGTAGTAGAAATTCCTTCAGCAATAGTCTTAATTGTTCTCTGAATGAAACAGCAGTTATTTTGAATTATCACTGCTGTCAAGCTACTCAAGTGAGGCCAAGAGCAGTGTGAAATTTGGATGATACACACATGTGAACAGGACAGGAGCTCCTTCATTATGTACATGTCATAAATCTGCCGACTTCGGGTCAGACGCTCATCCTCAGAATCCAGTTTCTCATATTCTTTTATCTGCAATACAAGAGAGAAGGATCCATTAGGTGAGCACATTTCTAATGAATTTTCACTCATTTAGCAAAAACAAGACTTCGGCTGAAGTTTTATTTTACTTTATTATTTTCTTAATGAAGACTTAAAAGAAAAAACACCTGCAATACCACAGTTGCAGCTGACCATAAATTTCCCGCCTCTCTTAGAACATTTGTGCGAGGAAACCGATTTGCTCAAAACTGCCACAAAGCTTTGTTTTCTAGAATTTGAAGAGGGCTGAGCTGAAGCAGCATGTCTTCCATCTACCGTTCAGCCAGAGCACGAATCTGTGCCGGGGAAGTCAGAAGCTAACCGCGACAGGACCGGACCGCGCAAGGAGCGCGGGACGAGCAAGCATGCACCGCAACGTTTCCGAAGGTTTTCCTCCCCTCTGCTCCGCTCCCAGATGGAGAGCGCTGACCTCGCTCCTCTGACACCCGAGAGCGCTGAGCCCTTTTCTCAGATTATTTCACTCGATGCTCTGGACTACCCACAGCACAGCAAAACGTGCCCTTTTGCAAGCTCCCGGGGCTAGCAGAGGAGTTGCAGTCGTATTCAGGCAGCGCAAACCATCGCCCAGCGGCAGCCCTCGGCTGCCAGCGCGCCCGAGCGCCCTGCTCCAGGGCGACTACAGCACGCTACGGGCACGTGTCCAGGAAAGAATGTAAAGCACATTTCCAAATGTTCACGTAGCTCAGCTACGTGTTGAATCTGAATGCTAAAGGTGGCTAGAAAGACAGTTTTACAAAATATATCGAGTTTCTTCAGGTGTGACACAGGACGTCAGCGTGTTCCAGATGAAGCAACAGCAATGCCGTATGGTTCATTTACAGAACAAAACCAGAAAATCAGTTCCAGGAAAAAAAACCTCACCGAGTCCAAGGGTCCTTTGGAGCATATTTGGGGAAGAAGTGTTTCCAGGACTGACAGAATGTAAAAAAACATACGAGATCTTTGGGGAAAAGCCTTAGCTCTGACTTGCTGGACCTTCCCAGCATCAGCCTGTGAGGTCCCAGGGTCCAGTGAACGCCCGTGTGCAGACGTGCTCTGGGTGCCTACACCGACTCAAGAAAACCAAAGCAGAGCCAGACCCAGCTGGATTTCATTCAGTGCCTGCTAGAGAAGGAACAGGCCATGCCAGAGCTGTCTGTACTTTCAGCCTACGGAATAAACCCTACACAAATGATGTACCAGAGCATCTCCTCCTGAGGCAGGGAGAACACGCTGGCTGGGCCTCCAGGGACAAAAAGCACAGAAGATTTTAAAAACACGTGTTTTGCCTCTGTTTCACAATATAATTTTTTTTTTCCTTCATTCAGAGGCCGCTCCTTTTGCAGGATGAGCTGTACTTGACAGCTCTTGAGCAGGCCTCCACGTGACAAACCCAGACCAATCCGTCTTTGAAGGTGGAACACCGTAATTAAACTCGGTATTTTTCTAGCTGTAGTCCTCTTGTTTGCTGACTATGATAAGGCAACAGCTCCACCACGGTTTGCCATCTGTGACTACTTCCCCTCGGTACCAATTTATAATTAAAATGCTTCAAAACATCTTTGCCAAAGAAACATTTTTTTAATTAATGCAATGCCGCAAAATAATTAGAAGTACAGGAGAAAGCCTGATGCATACCATATTGTCTTACTTGAATGCAACCTCCTCCCCTTCAATATTTATTTTTTTAAACCCCTAACTCTGCAGCACCCAAAGCAGAGGGGTGTCCTGCAACAGCCCCCCCAGCCACGCTGGCACCGGGTCAGTGCCTCTCCCTCCTGCCCTTACAGTGGGCTTTTTAACCATTCAAAGCGCCTTTTTTTTTGTAAAAGTTTGAAGAAAAGGACAGCAGGTGACAAAAGTCCCCATGGGGGATATATTCCTGGGCAGCTGAGCCTGCTCCCCCCGATGCCGGGAGAACGCCCTCCCGAACGCGCTGCCCGATGCCGCTCGTCACACGGGCGGCGCGATGAGACACCTCTACCGCGATCACATTTAACGTGCACGCCTGACATATTCACAAGCTAATTTTACATGTTTATTAAATAGAACGTTACTGTACCTTGCCACAAATTACAGCGATAGGCAGAGCTACAAGTGTCACCCCTTATAAACGTAACCCGTCTCTGCTAGCAGCAGCCGCCTCGGTATTGCTCCTGACCCAGAGACAACGTACTGTGTCATCGTGTATCTCAATGCTTCCCCGGAAAACTTCAGCTCACCTCAAGAAAAGTGTCTGACAAAGTATCTTTTCAAAAATTGAAATCAGAATGCATTAGTTTTCAAGCACCTAGAAGTTCTTGGGGTTTTTTTTTTTTTTTTTTTTTTTTTGAAACCGATCTGGATGAATCATTCATCCAGTTAAATGCTTGATCGTGACTTAAGCTGCAGTAATATGAAATCCCTGGAGTACAGAGCCCTTCTACATCAAGCGATTTTTAATGTAGCAATGTACTTAAATTATTCTACATGTAATAAATGCAGTAAGTAAATCAAATACATAAAAAAAAAAAAAGAAAAGCTTCTGAATCCAGTATGTCACAGAAGAAAACGCAATGAACCTCTCTTTAAATATCTTTAATGGGATTTTTCAAAAAGTACATGACAAAGCATTTAAATTCTTTTTAGGCAACACTTTGCTAATAACCTAAAAATGCAATTTCAAATTGTTTCAAAGATAAAGAGGCAGCTAAAAATATCTTGCTAAACAATCTGTTACAACATGCCTTTTTGATTACTTATGACAGTGATATCTTCAGTACATAACAAGATAAAAACCACGAAAGATTCTTCTTTATTGACAGCGAGTATCTAATTTGAGGGGGGGAACTGTATATTGCTAAGGATTTATCTCCAAACTGATAACCAGATTAGCCTATTCTGTGCTGTTAGCCCACTAGCAAGAAAAATTTTAAATCATCAGCTTAAGGGTAATCCAGACAAAAGGTTATCTCAGGCAGCATTTCTGATTAATACTGAGCAATACAGGCTGCCTTTTAAAAGCACGTGTGCCTGTTTTAACTGAAACCAGCACCTATGATAGGATTAACTACAGTTTTATATTTAGAGCGTCACAAATATAACAAGGAATGAATGGAGCGGTAAGACTCATCAAGTTTCCCGAGCGGTCCTTGCAGAAGCGCTGAGGGAGCCCTTCCAGCAAAGGAGAGCTGTGGAAGGACACGACGCGCTCCATCCGCACGCTTCTGAAATACGGATCCGTCTGGATGCACGCCTGCCTCGGGCACGACGTCTGCCAGTTTCTGCATCGATTATCTCACGACAGTGGAGTACAACTGACCTTATCCATCTAAAGCCACATCTCGCATCCCTCTCCGGAGGATCCTCTCACCCACCTGCAGCGTTTGACAAGGCTTTTCTGCAACCCTGCCACAGCAACTCCCAAGAAATCGCAGAAGCTAGCACCAGCCTCAGCTGTCCTTGTACTCTGTTGTCTTTTCTACAGGTAAAAGGATGTTAGAGAAAGGCATGAAGCATTGGAGAGCGCGATCCAAACCCTGGTAACTTCAGCTGCACCTCCTCCTTTTCTACAAGCCCAGGCAGCTGCCCAAAATCAGCTACAGACAGCAAGGCATCGTTCTCTGTCTGGGTGGGTGCGACAGAGAAAGAGGTGCCTGGGACTGAAGGCGCAGCGTTTGGGCCCCTCGCTGAAGCATGGAGGGCACGGGGAAAGCTTCAGGGAGCAAGGCGAGGGATGTAGAGGACCAGACACGCCGCTTCCTCCGGCGGATGACATGGAGCAGAGCCAGAAGCTGGCTGTGATCCCCACAGCGCCAGCTGCCAGCCATGCCAGGGACAAACCAGCAAACTGCATCGGGGACCCACGCTCCATTTTCTGCTTTTGCTCTTTGGGACAGTGTAAGATAAACTTGCTTATTTTAGGCTTTCTGCCTTTAAGGAAGATCTTCGCTATGTGCAAGAGATACGAACCCATGTCCCACGTCAGCTCTAACAATAAAAAGCACTGGTTTTGCTTTCAGGTCTTTTAGAAAGAAGGAATCCGCTGCTGTAATTCCACTGAGAGCTGGCAAATGTTACTTACTTTAACTTCATCTCTGTTTTGTAGCAGAACTAAGATGTATCATCCTCTTCACAAGTGAAGATCAAAAGCTTATCCCATTTCTCAACAACATACCTGGCCTAACTTAAGGTATTGGATATATTTAACAAGTAGAGACTGAGATGAACCTAATTTCAACTCATTTCTTACAAATATTTCAAATGAAACGCAGTCAAAGAGTGTACCTTATGATAAAAAACATTATAAACCTAAAGATATTTTAATCTCTATTAGTACTCCTCCCCTTTCCATCATTATCTCAGTATTTTCCAAGCTATCTTTTGACACATTAAAGTGGTGAATGAACATTTGGTTAAGTGGCTGCTCTTAGAAGAAAGTTACTGAACTTTCTTCCATTGTTTTGTTTACAACTTATTATGCCTTAAAACAAAACACGCTTAACTCTTGAAGGACAAAAACTGTAACAGTAGCTTTTTAAATGCGTTGTTAGCTTATGTTTAATAAAAAGACATAGTTCTAGAATATGCAAACAAAAGCACTGTTAGGAGTTGAGCGAAGTAGATTTTTTCCTGCAAATACTCCATTTTCTAAATCTTAAGTATTTGCCCAGTAAGAGGGCAAAAAAATCATCTACGCTACTCTCATAACATACGCTGTAAGAGTACTGTACCAAATTACCAACTTGATTCAATAGTTACACTGCTATTTTTAAAAGTCTCTTGAACTTGTTTAAAATGATAGTTTTGTCCCTTTGAGATGCAATCGTTACCACATAAATTATTGTCTCTTATGAATCAACCATTCCTCTATGAAGTTGAAATGACTTAGAACGACACGCACCCTTGCACGCCTCTCCTTCGCTCTTAGCATCCCCTGCCCGAAGACTAAAGGGACAGCGTTCCTCAGCCTCGCTCCCCCGTACAGTCCCAAAACTCCATCAGCGGCTGCTTACCTCTTCATAAAACTTCAGTTGAGGGACAGCTTCATCAATCTCATTCAGGCAATAGTCTTTAAAAAGCAAAAATCCTGGAAAGAAAAAAGTAAAAAAAAAAAAAAAAAAAATCAGAAAAAATGCATCATTACTACGGTAACTTGTAAAAAGGGACAGAAAAACACTCGGGTAACATCATGGATTGTACATACCTGTGTAAGTATCCCTAATTGCCAAGGCTTAGCAATACTGATTATCAAGGGGCTCTACAGAATTCTGAACAGGAAAGGATCATAAACCTCACTCACCTCCCATAGGTGTATTAAGCATACTCCAATTTCTACCTGCTGAGAATTTATGAGATGTTTACATAATGCACCAAAATATCCCATTCCTCTTCACGGATCAGATTTTGTTTCTTTTTTCAGAATGAAAACTAGATACTATTCACACGTTTTGCGTTTTTGAAATAGATTTGCCTACTTTCTACTGACAAAAAGCAACCTCTTCTGCATTCCAATTTTAGAATTACTGGTTAATGTTACCTCCAATAGGTTTTATAGCACAACAAATCACATCAGGATCTTTACAGGTTCCTTTGCAAGTAATTTAAAGCATGACCTCTGCAGCCCGCTGATGAGTATTTTCCATTACAAGCATTTCAACGCACCGTTACACACTTCATCGCATGGCAGTACTGTCTTTACATTCACCTGGGCTGCTACCTGCTACCCTTTTACTTTACACGCCTATCTGTTGTCACAGCTCATTACCTGGCTTATCTGCAAGCCCCTCAGAGCTGGAAACAAACGGGCTTTCAGCTCACTGCAATAGGCAATACCTTTCCTTATTTAGAGTTACTGCGCACTTACCGAAATCACACCCAGCTTTTGGAAGTTAAGACCACGAAAGTGTAAACTAAAATAAGAAAGTGAGCAAGAGAAGGCTGAGCAGCTAACTTGAGGGCTGGCGCTGGCTGGGAACCACTCCATCCCGCTCCCCTGCTCAACTCCTCTCCCAACAGACATCAAGATATAAAACATCCCTTTTCAACTTAAAAAAAAAAAAAATGTATATACAAGAGACCTATTTTATGTAAAATGTAATGGTAATTTGACTTACAGCACAATTATATTACCAAAAAAAGTATCACATCACTGAATGCCCAACTAAGGATTAATACAACCACCTACGACATCTCATGTTTTCCAGAGTCTACTATCTTTAAAAAAAAAAAAAGCAAAACCTGCTTCATGTGCTACCTAGTAATTCCACTGTAGTGCGTACAGGAGAGCATTTCACTGTCAGTTACGAGTATCATGTCCTTTCAACTCACTATCATCCAATTTTATCAAAGACCTTAATAAGAAAAAGAACCACGAACTACTCGGAAGCAAACCCACTAATCTCAGCAGACAAAGCAACACTAACCAGGCAAACAAAAGCTTTCATTTATGTATAATGAAAACATTTATCAGCTTCTTGGTAACCCCTCTAGCTATATCTGGATTCCAAGTTAAATTTCCTATTGGGAGAGCTTGTTGTCCTGGGGTCCCCTGGATTTATTTGGTCACAATCAGAATACCAGAAAAGGGATTATGACCAGGCAACTCCTATACTTCGCTTGACTCATTTAGCCGATTAGGATGATATTTTGAAGATTATACAAACTGGGTTTTGTTCTCTAAATAAAGGACAGAAATCTAATTAGGAGATTCTCTTACGAGATTCTCCAAACTTTCTGATTCTTCTCAACAAAAAGAATCATTCTTGAAATATTTTATAAACAAATGTGCTTTTCTGAAGACCAACCAACCCCAAGTTTTCTATTCCTTAAAAGCGATTTGCAATTAGAGTGCTTTTTTTCTTTCTCTTTTTTTTAAGGGCTCGTCCTAGTTCCTACTGTACCGGAAATTTTCTTCGGAAGTTGTCTTCCCTGATTGCCGAGGAGACAGCGCCGGCAATCCCCGTGCCTCACACGGAGGACGGGGTTCCCAGCCGGGGACACAAGGGCCACCCCTCGAAGCAAGAGTCACCCTGCCACAGCAGGGGACACCAGCGCTCCCTCCGAGCAGGCACCCCGAGCAAGTCACAAGCTGTCCCCGCCGCTGCCAAAAGCGCCCCAAGCCGCTCATCTCCAGGGACGGACAAAGTGCACCTCCGGAGAGCGCTCCTCTTCTTGCCTTCCCCTGCCTGAGCGGTAAACGCGGCACGAAGCCGGTTTTGAGGACAAAACCCGCCGCTTACGGTACTGAACCCAATTCATTCTTTTACGCACGATCGCAACAGCAGCAGCACCGAGCAAAATAACGCTGAATTGACTGAACTTTTATTTGGACAATGAACCAAAGAAGATTACAGTCATGTAATTAAGAGACTAAAGAGTGGCACAAACAGCAATGAATGCAGTGAAAGAAAAATCCCTGGCGTGGTCCCAGCTACTGGCTGTTTACCAAAAAAACCCACAAACCAAAAAAAAAAAAAAAAAAAAAAAAAAACAACAAACCACAAAGACAACTGTGGGAGGAGTGTGAAAATATACCAACACAAATTTTCAACAATGCCATGCCAAACATTTTAGCCCTGCTTAATATTTTCCAAACTTTTTAATTTAATTATTGCAGAGAAAGAAAAGGCTCCCAGGGCCAGAGAACAAGGAACAATAGCAGGCTTATGCTGCCTGCGCTACACAGCCCGCTTCTCACCAAGTCGCTTTTTTTAAACTGCATTGCTATGCAAAAAAAACTAGACACCCCGAAAACAAGAAGTTAGAAACTTTTATAGACGACTAATATAGTCATAATAAGTTACAGCCGTATGAATCAATACTGAGAAAACGCTGTTAGTCAGGTTCCAGTGAAGATGAGCAGAACTATTACAGCAGCATTTTAAAGTGTACGATAAAAAAAGTTAAATTATTAAAAAATACTGCACTAAAATAAATTATATAGCGCTAAAATAAATTACATAGCACGAAACATCTCCTCTCCATGGAGTTACCAGCATTGTAATTTTTCACTAGTAGGACACCCAAGATTATCTGCAAGCCTGTTGTAGACAAAACTGTTGGGCGGCTCTTCCAGCCCCGCAGCACGCTGCAGGGCGGTGGGCAGAGACGGTGGGAGCCGGGGCGAGGGTGGGCACCGTGCACGGGGCTCATCCCGCTCCTCGCCCGGGGCGCAGCCGTGCCTGTTACAGCAGGAGGGCACACAGAAGTTCTCTCATAGCCAGAAAAATGGTTAAGATTTTTTTTTTTGTGTGTGATTTTTTACAAGTTGCAAGAGGGGGGAAAAAAACCCAACACTTGAAAAGGTCAGTAGCATCCAAGAAGAATATTATTCTAACACTTGGGGAGTGTTTGACACATAAAGTAGAGCATCAGCTTTCATCAGCTATTCTCCATTGTCTTTTCAGGAAAAGAAAAAAACCACAACACTGTTTGATACCAGCCGAGTTGAAATAAAAATAGATATTTCAAGTTTTCTTTGAAGAACCTATGGACTGGAAGCATTTATGTACATATATTAAGATGCATTGTATACATACATGCAGCTTATATAGTCATCAAAAAAGCCAGGATTTCACACGGACCAACCTCCCTTGACAGAAAGGTTTCTGGCATATGTTTTTTAAAAGATCTGCTCTACCAAACCATAAGAAGGATTACCTACCACAGGCTTTCCAAGCAACAGTTCAGAAAGCTAGACACATGCACTGCTCTGCAAATAAATGCTAGGCAATTTCATCCTCCAAGTTTTCCATGGGACTGTTAGCCCAGATCCATACCTTACAACCAGAACCTATGTATTATGAATACCTCCAAGAACACGTTTCTAACGACTATGTGACAGTGCCTGCACCGGTCACTGAAATACTGTCCGGTGGCTTCAGCACTGGAAAAATACTCTGGAACTGAAAGCGGAGAGCCAGCTGCAGAATTCATTACTGCTGCTGCGGTGGCAATGAGCAAAGCGATCGCTCGTCCCGCGCGGGAGCTGAGCCAGCGGCCTCCGGCACAGGGGTCCAGGCGTTGCAGCAGCCCTCTCCCTGCGCGGGGAAATGAGCTTCCTCCTGACTGCGATGTTTTTACACGTGACTGACGAGAATCACATTCTTTAAGAGTTTTTTAAGTGCATCCTAATGCTCGGCTCGCATTAGGCAACCCCGAGTGCTGCTCTGAAAATTCGCAGCAAGACAGACATCAGAGACAATTTGTGGGTGTCCAGCACAACCTCCTTCTTCAGCAGGTGGTATATGGGGAAGGATAAGCCAAGTGATGGAGTTCTTTTTAATTAATTAGGAACCTCATGATTAATGAGATTTTTTTCATTTGCCTCATGAAAACGGGGGGGAAAGGTGACAACTCGGGCATTTTCTCTGTCAAAATGACAGTAACGTCAGACAGCAGCATGCAGGCAGCAAAACGCACCCCTCCTCGCCCTGCCCGGATGGAGAGCTGCCTTCTGCGCAGGTTCCATGCCGGCTGGCTGAAGAGCAGCTGTGTCCCACGGCTGCGCTGGGAAGTGGCCGGAGGAGGCGAAGCGCTGCCACGGTGCCAGGAACATGGGGGGTCTGCAGGAAAACTGAACTTGCAGGGATGATTGATCAGAGGCTGATGGTTAAGGACAAGGAATGAAGAAGGATCTGGGGACTGGAAGAGTCTCTTGTGGAGCCTGGAGGACAGAGGCGTTAAGGAAAAATCTTTGGGGAAGCCAAGAAACAAAAACAGATTGCCAAGCGATGAGAGCGGTTTCTAGTGACTTGTAATTATTTCACTAAAGATTTACAGTGGAGGAAAACAGAATCAGGATCTCCACTAGCCAGTCAAGAGTATGGCTCAAAAGAATCTAGAACTCCTATGTATTAAGAAAAATTCGAAAGATTTTGTGGGTAAATTCTTCAGTTAAAAACTCCTATTCCCTGATTTTTATCTGGTTTTGAATGCTCGGCCTTAAACCATTAGCTCTTTTACAGCACAACTGCAAATGCAAACACACGACTCCTCCCTCGTCTTGCATTTGCAGCTTCTCTGACCACGCAATCCACGTCCCAAGCTATCAGCACACCTTCCACTGTCCTGAATTCAAACAAATCCAATTAGAGTTTAACATTCTCCATACTGCAAGTGATTCTTTTTCGACCTCCCATTGTATCAATGGATTCTGCACTCGCACTGCAGCATAAAGAAAATATCTTCTTTTGCTGATGTTCTTAAGATTGAGTGAAAAATGATTAGCCAGAAACCGTAGCTCTCAGATAATAGCAAAACTGACAGACGCAGCATTGAAAAAAGTGACAGTAGTTTTAAGAAGTTCAAGGAGAACTGACGAAAAACACAATAAGCACAGTTAACTACACACAGAAAAATAAGACCAAGAACAGAAAGCAGGAATTAAAAAAATGATAGTGTTAAGTAACAGATAAAAGGAACCAGCAATTATTTATGAAATAAAGATGCTGACAGCTTTTCCTTTAAAATTTCTTCCTCTATACTATATAATTTCTGCAACAACCAGATCACTAGTTGTTTAAGGGGGGAGGAAAAAAAAATTAAAAGCTTTTTCAGGTAACACCAAAGTAATGGATTATATCAATAATACATACATGTGAGTGCGAGTCAGCACCTAGCTCCAAGCCTCTGCTTTCCCAGTCTCTGGACAATTTTTTTCCCGTTATCTTTTTATGGACAATCCTATACGGCTAAGTTTGCCAAATGCCATTAATTGCCCTAACTCCAATTACCAAGACAAAATGTCTGTCAAGGAGGGATAAAGAAGACTCGTGAGGTTTGCAGCTCAGTCTCAACTGGACATTCGCGACCAGGTACGGATGGGGAGATGCGGGGAGCAGCCGAGCCCCAGGGCACTCGGGCGAGAACGCCTGCACCCGCTCGAGCGATCGCGCCGTTCCCAGAGCTTGTCCCCAGCCGGACAAGGTCCTTTTCACAGCCTTGAAGGGGCAACGTGAGGGAATTAAGTCAACCCATCTCTTTTTTAAAAGTGCATGCTTTTTACTTCTGTATTTATTTCAAATTAGTTTTTCTAACATGACTTCAGAAATTTTGCATGAAATCCTGACTCTTAAGTCCACGGCAACCCCCCACAGCACCCCTGAATTACTAAGGTCTGCCTTTTGTTTCCCAAATTCAGCACTTCTTAGGGCCAGGCTCGGGCAGAGAACAGAAACGCCACTGGTGACCAGCCTACACA